TAGTGGAAATGATGTTGGATTTATCACGTGCCTTGCAAACATGGATCTGCATTTCAGGAAACCAGCGTACGCTGGTGGGAGGTTCTGAGCAACAGGACCTAGGCTGAAATGGAGATATTTTTACAATCCCAAATTGCAGGGACAGTCTCCTGAAGGCAAGTCATTGGTTTTAGACTTTATTAGACCCTTACTTTAATTACCACCTCATTACTTGCTTTGCTTCTACAAAAAGTATTCCATACTGTCATTTTCCCTAAGTAACTGGAAATGTGATTGAAAGGGATGTTTAAAGTGAGACTAATTCAAGATTAAATAGTCACAAATTATATTATTGCTACATGTAAACAAATTACTTGCATATCTGATTTTATTCAGATTACTTTTCAAGTGGTAAATAATGCTTTATCACTTATATAGTGCTCTTACATCTTTAGAGTGCTTTTCTCACATTAATTAATCATCATTAAACACTCTGAGGTGGGTAGGTTAATACTATTATCCCCATTTTGCAGATGAAGAAATGTAGACTGAGAGGTTGTGATTTGCTCAAGGCCATATAGAAGAAACAGAATCAGAGCTGGGATTAGATCTGTGTCCCTAGCTTCTAATTTCAGAAGACCAGCCAGATTGTGAGCCACAGTTTTGAAGCAAAATGCTCTAGTGTGCATGTAGAACCAGCAGACATTTGTTTGGCCTCTTAGGTGCGTAACTTGCAACGTGCTTATAGGGAAACTTAGCTTTTGTGCCATGCTTTGCATTTCCACCTTCGTACTTGCAAGTGTGGAAATGAGCTCTCATTCATTTAGGACCTGTACCTAATCTGGTGTGACATTTTTATTTTCTTGATTTTCATTGAATTTAACTTCCGTCTTAAAAAACATAGAAATTTCTGCTTCTCTGGACTTGAATGTAACTGCACAACTCACACAGACATTGGTACCCCAAACTGCCTGCAGATGATACCAGGCCCAGCTCTGTTACTTAAAATTTTTCACAAGCTGAGACATAAATAAGGTTCTGATTTGGTAGCTTGTCTTGCTGCTGTTCAGAAGAGATGAGAGAGAATTGCCCTCTGTGTGCTGAACCCAGCAGCTTTGTAGGCAGTGCCCAGCCGCTCAGTAGGGAGTAGCATTCATTCACATGCCCTCCACCTTGGAGAAGTACCTGAATAAAACAACTTAGTCTGGGAATGCAGAGAAAAGAACTCTTTGTGCCACCACTTCGTTAATCAGAAGCACCACAGAGAATTATATTCAGCTGTTAGTAATGGGAGCACATGCAGAGGTAACAGATAAGGGAAAAATAAGGTGCAGGAAAGAAGTGCCCTTGTACAGGAGGGTGAAGACCTGCTGGGGTGATGTGGAATAGGTTAGAGACCCATGGCATGTACAGGTAAGGATCTGCTTTGTGCTACAGCATCCTTCTCACCTGTCCTCATTGCCAAGGAAATGTTGGATTGTGGAGCCTGGCTGCTGAGTTATGAGCTCTGACTTCCCAGCTCTGAGCAGAGCCAGTGGTTGTAACTCAGCCTGCAGAATCAGTGCAATGCTTTTTCAAAGTGCTGCTCACTTGAATTCATGGAGGAGATTTTGAACTCTCTGGATACAAGATCATGGAGAAGGTAGTGTATAAATAGAGTGGGAAGGGAAAATGTATTGCAGGCAGAAGGAATTCTCTGTCTTTGGTCAGCTAATGAAGACCTTGTCTGGATGATGGGAGTTGCCTGGGGGTGATCTGGAGTCATTAGCCTGTAATCTGCCTTGGGGTCATGCTGGTAAAGTGGAGCTGGGGACACCTGGGATGTGATCACAGATCTAAAGCTGATCCTCGTGCTCTGCTTGTGATACCTACAAATGAGGGATTCCCTAAAAGCAGCAACACAGGCGTCCCTAGAAATAGCTCAGGCACGTAGCAGTGACAGCAGAACAAGCACATAATCTCCTGCTGGAAAGGTTTGGGTTTAATCCAGCAGGAATTGCACGGTGAGTTACAGGTGTGCAGGGATGGCCTCTCCCCTGTCCCCAGGGCTGCTTGTGGAGCTCCCAGGTGTGGATCTGGTAGGTCAGGAGCTTGAGGAGCACTGATTTTAACAACTTGCTGTTGGTGGAAAGGAAGGAAACAAAATATTTGTCTATTTGCTTTCTTTTAAGCCTGGAATATGTTTTCTGACACTGGATCCTGTTTTAATAACCAGACCCATGATTAGGTAATGTTAAGTCTGCACAAGAGTAGTTTAATAAATATTTTAGTATGCAGATAAGCCACTGATAACCATGTGCATTCACAAACTCATACATTTTTATGCCTAAAAGGGGAGAATTCAGAATTTGTTGATACCACTTCACTGTGATGTCTTAAAAGTAAGGCATACTTGGTGGCACTAGCTGTCCAGGTAAATTGATCTCAAGTGAACACACAAGCAGGTCATTTATTTTATTTACCTTAAAAGGGTTTTTCATTCTTTAATTGTAGCTCTGGATATAAATTATGTGTGGAAGATAGACTAATGATTTTCCTGTGTTTGATTAAAGGCAAAGAATCAAAGATTTGTTTGTATATTTATCTGTTTCTTTGCTGTGATAAGAACCAGTTGTTATCCAAACAGTGGGACTGACCTAATAAAGGTCATATGCATAATTGATCTCCCATCTGTTTTTCAATATTTATTCTCTCTATTCTTTTAATAGACTTCAGTTCCAGAAGTGCAGCCTGCAACATTTTTAAGGTGGTATATTTTAGCACTTCTGTAAAAGGACTCATTTTATGCTGGCCACTGAAATGAAAAGGTGTGTTGTTGGTTCCACCCTTTGGTATCCCTTCAAGAGAGATTATATCAAAGAAGAAGAATTAAATTAAAATTGATTGGTGTTATTGATTTTTCTGTCTTTTTTTTTTTAATTTTTTTTTTTTTTTGAGGGGATAAAGGGTGGTGGAAACAGCATATGCTCCTATGCTGTTTTACTGATGGGCTATTTCTTAAAAACATAAAAAGCATATGTGCCCAATTTACATATTTACTAATTAAAAAAGCTTCCTGGAAACATTAAGTAGACTATCTTCTGTAACCTTTAACATTGTGGCTAATGGATATAGCCTAGAAATTTTCATAGAAGGTCCTCTAAATAATGTAAATGATTATGAATATGTAACTAGTTAATATGCAGCTACGAAAGGATTATCATGTAGAGGTTAATGAACATGCTGCTCTTATGGTTTGTAGGGCTTTTCTTTTTGTGCTTTCAGCTCACTTCATGCATGGAAAGTCATGTATTGGGAATGGAAAGCTTCCTGTCTTTTCCATCCTCATCTGTAATGGGGCAATTAAATTGAAACTTTCTTAAAGGATTTCATAAACATTTTTGTATGCTAAATTATGTTGTGTACTTCACAATCACTGCCAAATGTGAAAGGATGAAGGATGTGGATAGAATAGGCTTGGACTCCTCAACTTGTTAGTGATGGGCTCCAGTATTCCTCAGTTTTGTTACCAGACAATTTATGTCTTCTGCAGAGACTTTAGTCTTAAAATGAGCTTTATATTAATAGTATGAATTAGATTTCTGGCTTGATGTCTTGTACAAGTCTGTGTATTTACTCTCAAGCTTAAAAATAGTTGGCTTGCACATTAAGGAAGATATTTTGCTAGGCATTTGATTTGTAGGAGTTTAAAGCAAATGATAAATTTAAACTTGGCTTATGTGGGATGAGCTACCTGGCTGACTTTCCTGATGGATTATGAAATAACGTAACCACAAATGTAAAGCTGATCCTTTTCATTTAAGAACTTTGCTCTGTTTAAAGAATTATTAGCTCACAAAGTACTCCCATTTTTTTTACTCCTACATGAGTAGGAAGTGCAGGGTTTGAGATCTGTTGTGCAAAAGCTGCACATATGCTAACTGAAAAAAAAATTGTCTTTCATTCTGTTGTTTGGGGAAAAAAAAAGAATTATCTGCTCCAGTGATTTCAGTGGTACTTGAATGTATGTTATTGTTTTCTCTGCAAATTTTCTCATTAATTGCTTTCAAATGTTAGCATTATTTTGGCTATAGGAAAAACAAAATTTGTAAAAAAAAAAATCTAGAAAATGCTTATATTGAGAAGCTGTCTAGACATATTTAACTGCCTCATGGCTTCATTGCATTTCATATAATTGAATGAAATGGTTTGTGTTGTATTTTTAGTAACTATTATTCAGAGATCAGAATATGTTTTGAAAGACAAAATCTCCATGTAATTGTGGCAGAGAAGGTCACAGGTTTCAGCATCCTGCCTGTTTTCTATATGCAGTCTAAAAAATTGCAGTTAAGAAAGATAAAAGTATTTAATTTTAACAGTGTACTTTATTTTTTAAATTCTTTTGTATCTCTTGGGAAAGCCTGTGGCATAAGGAAGTAAGTGAAATATTTATATTAAAACTTAATTTCTTGACACCCAGAAAGAAGAGAAACCAGCAACCCATCATGTTGTCAAATATCCATGTATTTACACACCACAAAGTTAATTTGTGCTTTTTCAAGTTAAAGTGGCCAGTGGAAGCATTTGTTGATGTACTGATAGAGGAAAAATGTTTTTGGTGCTGTGAGATTCATTTGTTTTGCTTTTTAATGACTGAGTATGGGAGTTACATTGATGTCTTGTTATAATTTATGTTGTTTTCTTATTCTGCAAACATGTAACACTGAAAATAGATCAGCAGATTGCACGAACTGCTACTTATCTCAGATCCTGTGTCACGTAATAGTTATGGAGCAGGTATTGTACCAAAATAAGAAGTGGAAAGCTGTAATTTTTTTCTGTGGTTATCACTCTGCATTAGCCTGTGATAAAGTGTGCTGCTTAAGAACGACCATTCACATGCCTTTGCCCTGACAAATAAAAATGTGGCTAGAGACAGCTCCAAATCTGTAAAGCTCCTGTTCTAGTTTCTGATGCATTGACATTGCAGCTGTGTGCTTAGCCTTGTTTTTTTCATGAGTAGTTATCTGTTTTAATGACAGGTGGTCACTGGCTGCCAAGAAAAAATCCAGCACTGGTAAGTAAAAAAAAGTCTACATGTCTAAAATACTGATGAGTAATCTAGTTATGTTTTAGTAAAGTATTGCTGTTAATTCTGATGGAAGTCAAATCCTGCAATTGTGTTTTGGGGATTATAGTTAGTGATACCTCAGAATTGTTGCAATGTACTTTCCTTAAAATATATTTGTTTCTCACTGGTATGATTAAATCACAAATACAGTGAGCCTCAGTGTTTATACTTCTGCCTTAAAAACCTATCTCATCTGCCAGTTTTGCGCAAGTAACCTTGTTGGATAAATGCTTAATCTGCCTGAACGGTGAAAAGGTGCTCCCAGGGTAGAATTATTGTTGTTTTCTAACTACGGAGCAAGTAGGGAAATTCCACTTGCCCCCCTCCATGTGCTGAAACAATGTGGAAAGTAATGTTTCACTGTCCCCCCCCCAAGTAAAGAACATGCTAAATCTTAGTTTTCAGTACTTAAAATAAATGGTTTGTTATATAAAAAAATTATCTCTGGGCATTTTTTTGTCTGTTGACAATCTGTGGTTAATAGAAAACATACCTAGTAAATAATAGTTTTGTATGGCATATGAGGAAAATGTACATTTAATGGTGAATGAAATCTTATATTATGAGTTACTGTGAGATATAACAGTTGATCTTACAGATATCAAATGACGATATATCCATGCTGTGTTTACCATGATTTTACTGAGAGAACAACAGGAGCTGTCTTGATTATTGTCTGCAGGGTTATTGCAGAATCACAGCAACTGCCCCTTTAGTGGTGAGATTAAACCTTTGGTTATACACCATCAAGCATATAATATTTTAAATTTATTTTAAGAGGCTTTTTCTTCATGCCTGAAAGATCTCCAAGCAAATAATTTATATTTAGTGTGTATCAAATGTTTTTAGTTTAAATGCACATAAGCTGCAAGCGCTGGATAAGAGGAAAAAAATCAAGGCAATCTATACACATCATCATATTAAATTCTGACTATTGGCTCGCAAAAATAATCTAAAACTAATATGTTTCATTTATGTTTAAAATTCAGAGGCTGCATTAATTTTCAATAAGGGAAATATTGAAGTGCCTACTGGTGCTGCTGTGGTGAAGGCAGGCAGAATATCTCCAGCTCATGCACTTTCTCAGGAGCTTTGCAGTGTCTGTGCCTGCTGGCTCCCATGTGAAATTCTGCATGTGCATTCTTCCACTCAGAGACAGTGTTTTTCAGAAAAAAATTATTAGGCAGAAAGCTGTAAAATTTGAACTGATTTTTAAAAGTTTGGAAAAATGGTGACAATTATTTTCCTTCTTGCAGTGGCTGAGGTTTGTGGAGTGGCCTGGGAGTGTTGGCTCTGTGGAAGGAGGAGTTGCTCCTGTGTTTGCTTTTATGCAAACTCTGGCAATGACCCCATGAACTTGGGAGTTTTGGGCACAGGACCTCTAGTGAAAAAAATAACTTACTGATTTCTTTTATATAGAAAAGCAGTTTGCATAGCATCCATACAATCTTTACTTCATAAAAAAAAATAAATTAAAATTTAGTACTCTTATTTAGGTCTTGATTGTGCAAGAGCTGAGTGCTCTTGTTTCAACTGAATAATCTGTTCATGTAAGACCTTTTAAGTAGTCAGTGACACAGAAGAATGTTAAATAGAATTGGGTGAATAACAATAGGGTTTTATAATGCTCAGCTTCAATATATTTCCATTAAATTATTTTCTTTTCCATTTTTCAATGCACTTTTTGAAGTATATTTCTAAAGCCATGAATCCAATAATGGGTTTGCTATGGGATTAATAGCTAGCCATGCATTTCCCCTTCTAGGGACATGTTCATAGCTGGAGTCCCAATGTTCTTTCTCCCTGTTCCCTTTGGTTCTTTGTTGCTTGTTGTGGCAGGCTGTAGCACTGGCACACCCCAGAGCTTGTGAAACCATCAGCTATACATGAAGAGGGAGCTTCCTTCTTAAGTAATGCTGTTTCAGGCCAGTTATTTAAAAGGATGAATTTGAATTTTCTTTATCTGCACGGCCCAGTTCAGGATGTGACCCCACTTTCAGAGATTGCCATGGTGGGGGTTTGCTCAGCAAAGGGCAGCAGTCCCAGTATGAAAAGCAGGATGCTTTGCTTCTGAAGTAGCGCAGCTTCTTTGGCAAGTGATTTCTCCTGGACCCTGATTGGATTATTCAGTAACAGGCAGCAGTCAGACCTTAAAGACAGTGTCTTCTTTTCAGGTTAATGAAGAAATGTTGAGTGACTTTCAGACATGAAACGATAGGAATGTTTAATCCTGCTCTGAGTGGGGGATTTTCATGCCAAGCTCTTCCCATGGAGTCCTCTCCTGCATTTGAGACATGTGCCAGGCCTTGTTTTCTAGTGACTGCTTGAAGTCCATTTCTCAAATCCAGACCTCTCCAAGGCAGTGGCTGGGTTCTGTAAATAGCATTAAGTAATTGATTGTTATTGTTGACACCAAGTTTTCATTATATTCCTTCCTCCCCCAAAACACCTCAGTGCATTTTGCTAAGATTCATGAGTTTATCCTTCCTTTTTGAAGGAAGTGAATTATGTTTTCACTCTGATGTGGGCAACGGACAGAAAGCCTTGCCTAAAATGTCTGAGAGAAATCTACTGTCAGAGCAAACAGCAGCAAGCATCTTTTGTAAATCAGTTATGTGGAATATGGTTTTAAGGTCCGAGTGGCATAAAAACCCAAATTCTTTTCTTCCATATGAGTTCAATAACTTAAAATAGGTAAAAAGTAGGGTGCTTACACCAGAGTTCAACTGTGAAGCAAATGAGTCAAAACATAAGAGTGTCAGATAATTTTTCATAATGAATGCTGAAAAAGATTTCACCTCTGCTTATGAATCCAAGAAAATCAATGGTAATATTTTGAGAGTTGTGTTATCAACTATGACATTCATTTTTCAGCACATTTATAGATTGCTTTCCTGAATCATCCTCAGAAAACCTGTAATTTGCATCTTGGGTCAGCATTGTTAAGTGTGCTGCTCTGTGCTTTCAGTTGCTTTCTATTGCAGAATTTACTACCACATATGTATGTTTATTGTTTTGAAGTACAAGTAAACAATATCATCAAACCTGACATTTGTATGCCAGCTACTTCATGCAGGAGCTGATTTCTGACCATCTTTAGAATGTCAGGGGTCCATTAAAGATCTTCTCCAGACAAATTTAAAAATTTAAGAATGCCTTTACAAAAGCCTTTTTTAGAGGAAGTGTAGTTGTTCTGCACACAGAGTAAAATCACTGCAGCCACTGAAATGCTGTTTCTTGCAAAGTCCTGTGAAAAACCAGGTGTCTGCCATGGGAATGAATACTTTGTCCCAGTTCACCAAACCATTTCTCTCCTGGGTAGCAACATGTAGCATGAGCCTTATTTGCAATTTAGTTACAGAAGTGTCAGAAGGGATGCTTATTCCTCCTCTGGGCTGGAAGATGTGATAGAAACCTAGTGATTGAGACATCTTTCAGGAGTTTTGACTCTTGATAGGAGCACAAAGTTCATGGGAAAATAAGAATTAAAATTTTGCTCATTTATGTCAGCTCAAACTGAGGTCAATATATGAGCTCTATATTACAAATGATAGTTTGAAGAATCTGCCTCTTACAAAGAATAAAATGGATTTTCAGTTTTTCTTCTAAATATTGGTGGTGTTATAACTTGGACTTGAACATGGAGTGAGATACTCCAAATCCTAGTGAAAGAACTGCTTCTTTGCACCATGAAAAATTCTAATTCTGAATGAGACATATACAATCTAAAATAATCATGTACCTATCTTAATATACATTATTAGATAATAATCTAGCTATTATGTTTGTCATCCCATGCCTTCTATAAATGAGTTATTAATCTATCAGCTATATGTGTTAGAGTAAAACAGTTAATTTTTCTGTATTTTTGGTGTGGTTTTGATTTACTAGCAGAAAACCATTAACTCTTTAGCTGTGAAATTGAATCAACTTGAATTTATCAACAGGAAGAAGGTGGAGAGTGATTATGAGGCTCTTCAGGAACGACTCCAGACATTGCCTGACAAGTTGTCCTATGATATCATGGTATGTACGTGGCAGAGGTCACACAAGAAAATGGGCTAAAACTGTTAAAACCTGGGCTGCCTGCACTGGGAGTGAGGTGTTAGTCAGGTTGCCAGTACTTACTAATGTTACGTTTATTATGATAATAGTTAAACCTTTGCTTTTGTTTCCTTCTCTTTTCTTTGAAATCCATTGTAAATTACAGTGTTACTGACAACTGAAAGCTGATGACATAAATGCTTAACACAAAACCTGACATGTTTGATATGTAAATCTATTGTATAGAAAACTATAATTATGACTGAATTATGGTACTTAGTCATTTCCTGAGAAGAAAGTGGCTGTAGTATTTCCTGATTCATGGAAATAAACCCTAGAACATTGATTTTTACATAAAAAGGTGATGCTAATTTTTGTTCCACCAATCTTCCCATTGACACAGCGATCTTTTCTGGTGCTCTGAATCTTCCCTAACAACTGCACAAATCCCTGTGTAAAATTTGCCCTGTTGGCTTATGCTCACCAAAATTTTGAACAAACTGGCTTTTCTTTCTCTTCTTTTCCTCTTTGCTTCTCAGGTTCAACTCAAAATCCATCCTTGAAGGCAGGGAAGCCACTGCACATAACTGAGTGGCTGATTTCTGCACTCAGTGCCTGACTGCTGCCTTCCTCAGCAGCCTGGCTCAGATACAGAGTTGGGTCTTTAGTAAGACAGTATTGGAGGACACCTGACCATGTGGGAAAAGGGAGGGTTTCACTTTGCTGTGCTGTGCTACAGCTCTGGATTTTATGTGTGTAATCCATTTATCATGTGTGTATGTGTGGCCATGTGATGTAAAGCATAAAGATCGTGTTGTTTCAAAGCACAGAAACTCCCCTATTTTTGAAAGAAAGCCTGATAGGGCTTATTCTTAGTTGAAACAGCAATGTTAACTCACATATGTTACTTTAAATGTGTAGAAACAGTTCCTATCCTGTTAGCCAAATATTTTCATATGCTTTTAATTTTACTTTTATCATTTTGGGGGAAGAGTGAACAGGCAACTCGTGCAGTCTGCTACTTTAAAACCAAGTCAGGGAGGGCACACATGTAGAAAAGGCACATTCTGCATAGTCTTAATGTCAGGGTCCTGCCTGCTAGAGAACTAGTTCCAGCACTGGGACCCTCCTGGATATGGAAGAGAGGGAAGATTGCTTTCCAAGGAGACAGATCCATTAGGCCAAGTGCTCTGCTTCAGCACAAACAAAATGGGAAAGCAAGTGGCTGTGATGAGGAACTGAGGAAGAAGGCAGAAGAATAAAGTAGAGGGAGCTGATACAAACCATCTGAGATAGATGTCTTTTTACCCTAAAAAGAGAGAGAGACTTGATGTGGATGTGGTTCTTATCTTTATGCCACCTCCATTTTAGATCTGATTTGATTTTGGTCTTTTAATTTCTTCGCAATTGAAGCCCACAGGCAGCCAGGCAGGTGGCAGTGTCCTGGGGGTCAGAAGGCCAGAGCTGCTGCAGGGTACAGGGGTAGTGGTGGCCAAGGCTCCTCCTCACCCAGAGGACTTGCCCAAGCACTGCCTGTAAAATTTGGGCAGTAGAAGATGTCTTAAATCATAAAACCATGTCCTGGATGTTGCAATGCGTGTGAAAATGGGAGATTCACATTTTAGGAAGCAGATGTAAAGTTCTAAAATATGTTTGTCACCTGTGTGCACCTGCCTGAAGTGTCCTGCTTTTATCAGTTGTCCTTGTGCCTGGAGAGCAGTTAAAGGGGAAGAGTTGCTTGTGGAGGATCCCTGGGCGGTTGAGGTTTGCAGCCTGGTGAAAGACCCAGCAAAGTGAGATTAAACACTGTCTGTGGTCCTGCTGGGAGCCCCAGTGTCTTACACTGGAGTTTCTGGGTACTCACTGTTAGCAAGGCAGAGTCTAGGAAGAGCAACTCATCTTTGAGTTGATCAAACCTATTTAAGTATTTTAAAAAAATTCAGCAAAGCTGATCTGGCTTTTATTAGGAAATGAATGTAGTTGGCATATAACTCAGTTTGTATTATCAAGGTTTATATGTTCAGATGAAGTGAGCATTCAGCTGTACTATAGTTCTGTGTAACAAAACAAGTTGGTGAAATTCAAGTTTTCAGATTTTGTAAGTAAAATTCTAAATTCAAGTGGATCTGGTCATTTGAATGTTTATGATGGGTTAGTCACTAAATATCTGCTGTAGAATTTTTATTTTTTTTAAATCTGTGTTTTACTTTTTAAAATACTTATCTTTGTATGTATGACTGCCCAAGTTTTATTTTCATTAGTGATGTCTGTGTCTTTGACAGGTACCTCTTGGTCCTCTTGCCTTCATGCCAGGAAAGCTTGTCCACACCAATGAGATCACTGTTCTGCTGGGGGACAGCTGGTTTTCAAAATGCTCAGCAAAGCAGGCTGTGGAGCTGGTTGAGCACAGAAAAAAACGTATGTATGTTTCTGAACATGATTTAATAAGTGTTAAATTAATTAAATTTAATAATTTAATAGTTAAAATTATATACCTTTGTATTAATACATAAAACTAGTGATATCTACACTGTTCTCTTTTTTGTCTTTTTGTGAGCTCACAAACAGGAGTCCTAGTCAGGTGTAATATTAATTTAGGACTTTATCTTCCATCCTTGCTGGAGACTTGATTGGATATGTCTAATTAAAAAAAGAAACCAAACTAAAAACCCCCTTTTACTTTCTTTTAATGTAACAAATGCTGTGTTCTCTTCCGGAAAGTGGACAAGAGGACACTGCTTTGTGCTTTTGCTCTTCATTACCTTATTGCCTATATTTTGTTCCCTTGTCTTGTTTCTTATTTCTTTGCTGCCTTGTCCTGTGTTGTTTGCAGCTGATCACCACAAATTCATCTTGCATAGAAACACATCCCAGGGGCAATTCCTGGGTTGGTTTCCAGACGTTTTTAGCTGGTGGTGAGATCTTGGCTTTGAGGAGCCATGACCAGCAGCAGGAGCTGTACATGGTGCACTTAGGAACTTCTTTATGTTAGAAAGAATGAGAACCTAAAATATTTGATGTAAATGTCAAGGAAGAAAAAAACACAACAAAAATGGAAAATAAACTGGTGCCTATTAGCCTTTGTTTTTTGCTTCAGACAGGCATTTGAGTTGATTTTTTTCATACCTGTAACCTGTCCCATTCCTGAGTGGGCGCTCACTGCAGCTTTGCCCTGTGTATATTACAACTACCACAATTATTTACACTGGATTTTTGTTTGACTGCAGCTATCCATGTGGCTGCCTACAGAAGAATACCCTAGAGGTTCCCCATCTGAATAAGCTTTTTTTTCCACTTCTGTGCAGGAAGTATTTATGTAAAAAGATTTGAGAATTTTTTTTATAAAATTTCATTTGCTGTATTACTTTAAAATACTCCTTTATGAAGAGCATTGCCAGAAGTATGTAATTTGTATTTTACCTATTATCTTTCTTAATCTGGTTCTCCTGACACAACTTGGCAATTTTCTTTCTTACTGAACTGAATCTACATTATTTATTGTGACTCTTGTGAGATCTCAGGTCCAAATCTTTTTCCTTGATCATCTGATATTTTTTTCAGTGCTGCAGAATACTTTTGTCACTGTTACATTCAGTGAAATCATTTGACCTTTGCATAGAAGATGTTTGAACATTAAGTGGTCTGCTGGGAGACACACAATAAATGCTGAATTCTTTCCTTTATGGTGTTTTAAATTGCATTTAAAATACGAACTCAGAAATACTAATTTCTTTCAGAGCAAAATAGTCATTGATGCTGGATATAAACCCTCCATTCAGCTGATAGTTCACTTCAGCTGTGTGATGGCTGCCAGTGGGAGGCTCCAAAACACTGGTATTAACTAAAAACTTTTTTTTTAAGGACTGTTCTCAGTTTTATATGGTAAAAAACATATTAGTACATATGACTCTGAAAAAAGGCTAATTCTTTCCTAGATACACTTTTCTCTCTTAAAAAAAGTACAACTGACTTAAATTCTTTAAACCATTTTCATGCTAAATGAAGGCAACTTAAAGAAGAATATTGGAGATGTTATTAGTTTGTTCTAAGGAAAGAAGTTATGTATGTGAAACACCTCTGGGCCATTGCTATGTACTATGAATCGGCTGCTTGTGGCAAAAATTTGCAGGACTGATGTTTGGCAAGTATTAGTTTAAAGTCTTTTTTGTTTGTTTATTGCTCTGTAGTTACTTTCCTAGGTGTGACTTCTGCTTTCAGTGGTGTTTTGGGACAGCAGTTTACAGGAGGGCTTGTATTGGGCATTGTCATCACACTGACACAACGTGACTTGATCTTTTTGTACATAATCTTTTTGTTTTGGACATAAATTCCAAGAGTAGGTCACACACACTGGAAAAGAGGGCAGGCTCACTGCAGGGGATTACACTGCCAGCAGTCCCCAGCGTCCTGCGTGCCAGGCAGAAGGTCCTAATGGGGCAAAGCTTTTTTAAGCATGTGTTTAAGGCCAGTGTGTACTTAAAGGCTTTGATATATAGAATCGGGGTCTGAACAGAGCAAAGAGAAAATTCTGAAATAAACCTGGCTATATTTGTTGATGGTTTGTTTCTTCCATGACCTACATTTTTTTATGCAATATTACTCTGTATAATTTAGATGGGTTTTTTTTTTTTCCATAACTAGCTGGTCAGATCTGTTCAGATAACTGAAACAAACTTAATTAGTACAGTCCTACTAATTCAGTGCTTTTACAGGAGCTAGGACTACAAGGAAATAAATACGAGACATTTTCATTGGATGTCATCTCTCGTGTCTCACTGCTGAATGGTGAGGAGTGTGAGAGCATCTGTTCAGGGTTCAGGTTTTCTAGGTAGAAAAGGGTAAGAGGGTTCCTAGAACAGTTTTGAATGTTCTTCCTTGCTCACTCTGGGGAGTTTTCCTTCTTGCTTTTGGCTCGTGTGGGTCTGTGTGTTGGAGACCTCTGGTCACCAGGGCTGTCCCTGCTGAGCACCCCATTGTCTAACAGGTAATTCAGTCAAAGCTCACAGGACATTTTCTCTACATTTTGACTCCGTCTGTGTATGTTGGGTGCATACAGGAATGGAGGATGTGAATTTGCATGCTTAAGCAAATAGCAGTAGTGCCAGATAAATCAAACAGTATCAGTGAGTATAAAGCCTTGGAAGTTAGGGGTAGCAATATGAGTGTACCATATATAAAAGCTTTAAATATTACTTAGTACTAATTAGGTCATCCTTTTTGTCTTAGTAGTTTTGTTAAATTTGCTTTTTAAAGGAGAATGAGTGAAAAAATGTTTGCTTCTGTGGAATAGAGAAATGCCCAGCCACAGTAGATTAATTTCTTGGTTAAAATTTATTTAATTGAAAGGAATAATTGAAGGGTGACTGTACTGAATTTTAAATGCATTTAGCTGACATAGCTGTAGAAAGCCCTATTTTGGGGATACATTTCTGTTTGCTTAGCTTTTGATTTAGATGCAAATTGTTCAGCACTGTGATTGGTTGAAATGTATTTGGTAAAATTTGGGACAGTCACTCATGTCAAACGTTACTTTTTCATCAAATATTGATTGTGTCTTCTTGAATAATATTTGAGTTGCAGTAGGTCTTTAATTTGCTGTGAATTTTTGTGACATTCTAGATATTTAGTTAGTTCCAAAATAGTTAATAAATAGAGTGAAGTTTATAGAATTGCCAAGTATATTTTTAATTGTTTTAAATTCATTGCAGTTCATTAAACCAGGTAATACAGATAATGGAAAACACTTCACACATGTGTTTGTGTGTAAAAACGTGAAGAAATAGTGAAGTAGATTAAAGGATATGCACACCAAATTCCATTAAAATAAAAGAAATTAGCTTTTTAAGTATGTCACAGTTTAGCACAACAATAATGCAATTGTACTTTTTTTCTCCTACAATTATCTTGCTTAAGGTACTTCATAATATTTCTGTTCTCCTCAAGGCAAGACTGTATTGTCTCAGAATTCAAAGAGGGAATAAAGATTCTTTTTGTGAATATGGGATTATATCTTTTACGTGTTTGTGATGATATAAATTACATTTCTTCTCTATATCAGTAATCGCATTAATTCTTTAAGATGGGAAATTTTTCATTACAATAGTCCCTGTGGTAGTTACTATAGAAAGAAATTAAATAGATTTTTCTTGTAAATATTTGTGGATTAATTCTGTATGCTAGGTATTCCAAGTGTCTAAACATTTTAAAAGGTGGGAAATTAAAGCATGCACACAGAACTAGGAGTGGTTTTATTGTGTTAAAAATTTATCAGATAAAAAAAATTCCACTTAAAGGAGAATTGTTGAACTACTCTAGTAATTGTGTCTTCAGTATATGTAAGAATACCCTTGCAGTGTCATGCTGCAAATGAATTCATGAAATGAAAATACTGATTACATTAACATACAGTATTGTGATAGTCCCCAATTGTAAATTGCAGTGTGTAACCCCTAATACAAATATTTGTGTCAATCAAAATTGACCGATAGCTCAGGATACAGGGTTTAAAAGATACCATTGTTTTAATGAGATGATCCGCGTGGATGAGGACCAGTTTGAATTTGTTCCTTATCAGTATTTCCAGAAAAAAAGGTTTTGTCTCCAAAATGCATGATAGGAAGGCTTTCCATTTCCCATCTGTGAATGAGTGAGGTCTTTAGAGGTTTTAATGTTTTATCCAAGGGTAAAAATATCTTCCCTGATATTCTAAATAATGTAACACTAACTTGTCTACTCACAGTTTTTAGGCTTAAGAACAGAAAGTGCAGGCAATGCTACAAAAAGATTCAGCTTTTTCTTTTTTATATTAAAATATATATATTTTCTCTGCTCTTTTTTTGTACAGCAGAGAATTCTGTTCCACTGTGCTTTTAAAGTTTTTTCTACCATTTTTTGTGATTATCACTTCTTAGTCTGATAACCTCCCTTAGTTCCTTCCTTACCCTTGTTGAGTTAGGAGCTGATTCGATGCAGTGCTAAGTGCTCTAAATTTGCTCTGCAGTTCCCAGGAGGTGTTTGGCTTCTCACAGGACCACAGTCTGGGTATTTTAACCAGAACACACTGGAACAAAGTAAGGAGAATAGACTCCTTTCTGTAAGTTACATACTGTGATTCAAATAAGCCCTTACCTTTTTTATGATTCTTACTGGGCAACAGAGGAGTTGTCTGAATGCCACCCTCCTTCTTTTAGGAGGAATTTAAATGTGTTCAGATAATTCTAGCAATTACATAGGTGTGTGAACCTAAAAGAGAAATGCATTGCATTTACTTAGTGTTCCTAAAGCCAAATTGCCTGTACAAATTTTTACAGAAGAAAATCCAAATGACTTTGGTTTTGGTACCAAGGGAACATGGAAAACAGAATGAAGATTGTCTTCAAAGGGTGAAAAGCTACTGCACAAAGGGTTGCATTGCATTT